CTGGAATATGCTTCCTCTTAAAGATGTTAGCTTCCAAAAATTACTTCAGGATCCAACCTGTCAACAGAAACACATAAAACCAAGATTTTTGCTGGATGTGACCAGTACTGTCTAAGAATCAAGCTTACTGAAATACACTGGTTTGATCTGGTATTTTGCATTGCTCCCTCTGTCAATGTTTTTCCCCTAAAAAGCATTTTAAACCATCCTAAAGGCCCTGCTATTAATCAGATTCTGGCAAGGTCCTTATCCCTTTAAGCAGCATCTGAGAATCTTCCGTAAATATGATTTTGCACATCTTTTTGTGTGAGTTGATTTTTTTGTTCTTCTTTCAGTAGATTCCTTTTGGTTTTGTTTGGGTTGTTTTGTTGGGGGTTTTTTGAGACAGAAGCTGTTGTTAAGCTGTATTTTGGAAACAATCCTGTAAATATCAAGAGGTTTCCAAATATGTATATCATCGGCTATGTAGGGAGCTAGAGTTAGAGGGTTCATTTTGATATTAGTTAACATCTTCCAGTCTGAAAATAACTGCTCTGCTCATGCTGCTTCCTTGATTGCTATTTCTAGGCTTCTCACCTTCTCTGGTATTGGTAACTGTAATTAACAAGCCATCACTGGGAATTTTCCTAATCACAAAAGATTCTTAGTTGTAAGTACAAAACAGTCTATGCTCAATTCTGAGTAGACAGAAATGAGGATAACTTAGGTCAGTTGTCCTATCCCGTGTTAAATCCATGACCTTTTCATGTCCCACTCTTTTCTGTATCCTGTCACACACTTCAGGAAAAGTCAGGGTTTGGTGCAACAGAAGCTTTGTCCAGTTTAAAGCAGCTGGTTTTGCCAGCAGGACAATCCTTGTTAGCTTGTGCTGTCTTCTCAAACCTGCCCTGCCCAAAACCCTGGCAGTCACCTGGTATGTCTTGCCTTTCCTTGGGAAGGAGCAAATGAGCTTCTGGTAGTTTGCTTCAAGTCAAGACCACAGCCTACACATGCTCTTGGTGCATTTAAAAGGCAATTCCTTCATACCTGGTGATACTTGAAATTTGTGGTGTTGGAGATGACTTAAATTTCCCTTATCCTGTTTAGTTCTTCAGTTTCTCTGAATTTGAAAAGGGAAATTACTGCTTGTGTTAAAGGCAGACAGGGAAGGCACTCGTGTACCTTTTTCTCTTAACCTATTGCTAGCTTCACCTTTTAAATAAAACTTCCTTGGTAGATCAGCACTTCAGAATGCTCTTACAGAGCCGTAGTGCTCTGTTCAGTACTTTTTCTGTGGAATAAGAGACTGTCACGGCTGGTGTGGAGTGGGAAGGAGCTGACAGCAACAATAAATCCCCCTGAACCTGCCTGGCTTGCAAGGTGATCCATCAAACAGGGAAAGTGTAGCCTTCACTCTTACAGTTCAGGGGGGTCAGGCATTATTTTCATGTTGCAGGTCAGAGTGGGCATTGCTGCCATGTTACAGCTTTTCTAACAAATTGGAGTACTTTCAGATAATCCTAGGCTGCAAAACTTCCTGATTCTCCACTTCAGCATGAGGAGAGTATCGATGGGCAAAGAGCTCTTGACTTCCAGCATATTGCTGAACGGATTTCTAGGCCTGTTATGGAGACTTACCTAGCCTGGCTTGAAGAGCATTTGGATAAAGTGACAGTTTACTGAGCCAGAAGCAAAGCTTCTTAGGTGAAAAAGCAGACCCTGACTTATGTGAAGTTATATAGCCACAAACGAGATGATGAAAAATAAATGATGTGTCACCTTTGTGATGATGTTAAATGCTCAGGCTGATGCAGGTGGTGAGAATTCAAGGTGGGTTTTAGTGCAGTAAGTAGTGATCCAGCATTTTCTATATGTCAAGTGAAGATGCTCTTTGGATCATGCTGTGTATTTTGAGTGTTCTTTGTTTTCTGTTTTGACAGTTGCTGGAGAGGAATTCTCCTGGGTTAGTATCACTTTGAATGTTATGGACAGATGTAGCTCACTAACAAGGGGGATGGAGAAAACTATTCCTGTTTTGATTGGATTCTGTGAATTTAAATTCAGAAAGATTAGGAATTCAGAAATACAGCTCAAAAGCCTATGAACAGCAATTACATTACTTACAAAAAAAGGTACTTTTCTAGTATGAAGGAGATTAATTTTAGAAGATGACCATATGTGTAATCTTATTTCAGATGAAAAGAGCCACTAAGCCTGATGCAAGAAACTGAGATTTGAGAACTCCCTTCTGATTAAATTATATTTATTTTTCTGATCTGTCTTAATTCTTAATAGGGCCTTAAGTATATAATAATGTAATGTAAAAGAGTAGGAGAACTGAATGGTGATGTATTTAGTAATGTTATTGCAATTAAAAACCCTGAGGAAGGGTTATGGTTTGTGATCAACCTTGTATAAAAATAGTGCGGTCACCTTGTCCTTGGAAATTGATTTTGCTTGCATTAAAGGAAGTGTCTTTGAGGTCATCCAGCAAGCTGCAAATCACCCACTCGCACAGGTGGACATTACATTAGAATTCCTTACAAAATAAAGCTGCTGATGGGATTACTGGTTCCGTAAAGATTTCCCTTTAATATCTTTTAAAGGAATTATGGTTGTCTGGTGTATTGCTGGAAGACACAGTGCACAGGATGTGCTGTAAGGGGAATTCTGTGTCACTTGAAAGTATAAGCAGCATTTGCCATTATAAGCAACATGTTTTATTGCTGGAACCAACTGCATCCCAACCTCCTGCCCAGCATACACTTGTTAACAAATTAAAATGAGTAGCTTTGGCTTGCTTTGTTTTGGGATGTGAAAATGATTACAGCTAAATCTGAAGGATTTAGAGAGAGTATAAAGAGATGTAAAACACTGCAGAAACTCGGCAGGTGCTTGTCTGAGGGAGGGATGTCTGGGGCAATGGGTGTGTGTTGAAGGCCAAAGAAGAAAAAATCCAAATTTGATGGGAGCTGCACTATTTTTAATTGCTGCCTTTTGCTTCACTGACTTGAGTTTTCCCCTTTATATTTTGTACTCTCAGCTTGCAAGTTTCACCACTTCAGATGTTTTTGTTCAGTAGGTTTAACTTCTGGCAGCAAGGAGTGGGAGGTCAGGGGTGTTCTTTGTTTCATGTTTTGCAGCAGCAGCTTTTTAGTTGAGTTTCTGGAAGGTACATCTCTCCCAGCAGCAGCAGCATTTAGTTGTTGGTGTTGGGCTTGCCTATGGCATTGGCTTCCATACAAAGCTGGCCTTTGGAAGGGCTATGGAGCAGGGAAATGGGTATGACATGCAGAGGTGT